CAAGGCAACAATGTTTTAATTATAGAAGATAAATAAATCCCAGATACCTGCTTCCAGCCAGCCTCCACTGGGAGCTTGGGTGGCTGGGGTCCATGGACAGCCTGCTAACAGCCATCAGCCACTCACCTAGGCTGGCTAAGCACCCCAGCAGGACCCCCCTCCCTGAAGGGGCTGTGGCCAGCCTGCAAACAGCCATCAGCCCCTCACCCAGGCTGGCCAGGCACTCCAATGGGGACCCTCACCCTGAAGGGGGTGTGGCCAGTCTGAAAACGGTCCTCAGCCCCTCACCCAGGCTGGCCAGGCACCCCAGTGGGGCCCCCACCCTGATCTGGGACACCCTTCAGGGCAAACCAGCCGGCCCCCACCCATGCACCAGGCCTCTATCCTATATAATAAAAAGGTAATATGCAAATTACCCCTAACAACAGAACGACTGGGAATGACTGGTCACTGTGACACACATTGACCACCAGGGGGCAGACGCTCAATGCAGGAGCTAGCAGCGCTAAGGATGTCCAACTGCAGGTTAGGCCTGCTCCCCACTTGCAAGTGAACATGCCCCAAGGGCTCCTGGGCTGCCAGAGGGATGTCTGACTGCCAGCTTAGGCCCAATCCCCCTGGGGAGCGGGCATAAACCAGCAGGTGGACATCCCCCGAGGGGTCCCAGACTGCGAGAGGGCACAGGCCAGGCTGAGGGACTCCCCCCCCCCCCCCCAGTGCACAAATTTTTGTGCACCGGGCTTCTAGTTGAATATATAAATGGCACAGAGACTAGAATTTGTGGTGACACCCACTCTGTAGGAGCTATAGACGCTGTCATTTCAGCTGGGGTTGTTGTGCAACCTTCACTGAGAGTAGACTGGAGAGACTCATTATTCGAGTGCCCTCCTGATGCACAGCAGCTTATGATTTGCCCTCTTAATGAAACTTGAAGCTCCTCATTGCTGCTATATAGAGACAGGCTGGGGACAGATTTCAGTTGAGCTTAGAGAAGTGTCTTATACGTGTGTACTCATCTGAGAATAATTTTAAAGCTGTTGCTGTGACCGTGATGGTGGATGTTCTAATTTGTAGTCCCTCCTGTCTCCGTTTTCAGTGCAGTGATATTGAAATTCCTCTTCTGTACTTGAGCGCTGATCGCAGTCTATCTAGCTAATGTCAGCACATTTCAAAAGCAACTTGACTATTTTTTCTACCCTCTCCTCACATCGCCACCAAAGTTCCCAGATATGCCAGGGTAGGAGTTCTCCTGACTTCTTAATCCAGTTGCATAAACATGCATGACGCATGCTAAATATGTGACTAAAATGATGAAATAAAGGACATTAGGGAAACCTGATGGGCCGCTTTTTGTTTTCTGTGATCCCTCGCCATAAATTGCCAAACATCAAGGTGAATGTGGAACTGGCAAAGGTTTCAAATGTTCAAAGAGTGAAGAAAGTTAATGCAACACAGCTATGGCAGTCTGGGTACTGCCATAAGAAACAAGCCTTTGAAACTGATAATACAAGCAATTGCCAAGATTTCTGAGTCTGTTAAACTGTTGCTACTCAGAACAGGGTCTGTGACCAGGAGCACTGGCGGCATCTGGAAGCCCCTTAGCAATGTAGCATCTCAGAGCCACTGCAGACCTGCAGAATCACATGTGGTGGGCGTTTAGTGAGGTCTCTGGTGATTCGTGTGCACAGTACAGATTGAGCACCCCTATGTGAGCCTCTATGTTAACCCCTCCGCGACAGTAATAGAGCCTGGGCTTTAGGGACACACAATGTGGAATCAAATCCGAGCTCCCCACAAACTCCTCACTAGTGGTGAATGAGTTCCTTAAGCTCTCAAATCTTTGTTTCCACAAATACGAATTATAAATGGGAGCCCTTCCCACCTCATGGGATTGTTAGGACACTAACGTGAGATAATGCAGTTAATGAACCTTCAATAAAATGCCAGTTAGCATTATTATATTTGTAGTAATTATTAACATTATTTTCATTATAGAATAAAATATATTATAAATAACATTTGAGAGCCATGTAAGAAAGTGAGGATGAATTCAATATGATGCCATTATCTTTCTCTTAACAATATCCACAGCGTGTGGAGGGCAATGTTTCTCTACAACTCTGTGTCCCAATGTATGTATGTATGTATGTATGTATGTATGTATATATATATATATATATTTAAATATAAATAGAACAACATTTTCACATAGTTCCCTAAAATAATTCTATAAAAGTTCCATCTGCTTCGAATGCTTACATAATACCCTTAGCTCATCCGTTTTTATTAAATATTGTACACCCCTTGTGCAACTCTGATTCCTACCATTTTCTTTCCCACTTCCTAGTCATTTAATATTTAATATATACCTCTCATCATGTATAAGTCTGTTTTCTTTCCTTTGACTGGATTATGTGGTGTCTTAGACTGTCTTGCATAGACTAGCTACTCAGTAAATTTTAACAGATGGTGTGCATAGATTAAAATTCTAAAGATTGTAGGAACTGAATAGCATTGATCAATATTGCTGGAAATAATAGAAAAATAGAGCCATATATGTTGGACAAAACTCAGCAAAACAGTGAGGTCATGAACATGTACATAATTCAATGAAGTTAAGAAAATTCACTGTTTGGAGGTGTTCTTAGTTTTCAGTTGAATCAAGGCAATTGAGAAAGAAAGTTCACGATATAATTCAACTAAAGGTATGACTTTGATAATCACTATTTTCTATAGTTAAGGAATAACACTATATTTAATGAGCCATTAAACTTATCCATATACATTTGCAAAATAGGATAATATAGCCATTGATATAATTAACTTGGAATCCAAGGTGAGTTCAGTTCTCAGTTTTATGCCTTACAAATTTTATAACTTTGGCCAGGTTGTTTAACCTCTGTGTTTCAGGTTTTTTTTTTGTGTTATGAGGGTGTTATTTAAATAAGAGCGTGTTAATTAAAACTTTTGTTTCTGCTTTTATATATGTGGGTCCTCTCTCTTTGTTTCTTGGTGAGTCTGCCTAACATTTTATCAATCTTTTTTATCTTTTTAAAGAACCAGCCCTTGGTTTCATTGATCTTTTGTATTGTTTTTTTTTAGTCTCTATGTCATTTATTTCTGTTCTAATTTGTATTACTTCCTTTCTTCTACTTATGCTGGGCTTTTCTTGTTCTTTTTCTAATTCTTTAAGTTGTAGGGTTATGAGTCTATTATTAATTTTTCTTGTTTTTTTGTAGGCCCATAGTGCTATGAACTTCCCTCTAGACTGCTTTCACTGTGATCCATATGTTTTGGGTAGTTCTGTGTTCATTTTCATTTGTTTCTAGAAAGTTTTTTTATTTATTTCTTGATCTCTGTAACCCATTCAATGTTTAATAACATGCTATTTAGCCTCCATGTATTTGAATATTTTGGGGTGTTTTTACTGTAGTTTGTTTCTAATTTCATTCCATTGTGATATGAGAAGATGCTTGATAAAATTTATATCTTCTTGAACTTGTAGAGACTTGTTTTGTGTCCTAACATGTGGTCAATCTTTGAGAAAGACCCATGTGCACTTGAGAAGAAAGTATATTCTGATACTTTGGGGTTAAATGTTCTATAAATGTCAAATACATCTGATCCAGTGTGTCATTTAGAGTCTCTGTTTCCTTGTTAATTTTTTTCTCTGGAAGATCTATCCAGGGAAATCAGCGGGATATTAAAGTCCACTACTATGACTGTATTGTTGATCTCTCTTATAATGTCCTCCAGAAGTTTTTTTTTTATATATTTAGATACTCCTATATGGGTGCATATATGTTTACCAAGGTTATATCCTCTTATTGGATCAATCCCTTTAATATTATGTAGTGACCTTTATTGTCTTTTGTAATGGCCTTCATTTTGAAGTCCATTTTGTCAGATATGAATATTGCCACACTAGCTTTTTTTTTGTTTCCATTTGCATGGAAAAAAAATGTTTCCATCCCTTCACTCTCATCCTGTATGATTCTTTTGTTCTAAGGTGGGTTTCTTATAGCAGCATATATTTGGGTCATGCTTTCATATCCTTTTAGCTACCCTATGAATTCGTGCACTAGTAGGTTCCCTCGGCCTGGCCTGCGGGATCAGGCCGAAACCGGCTCTCCGACATCCCCCAAGGGGTCCTGGATTGTAAAAGGATGCAAGTCAGTCCAAGGGACCTCACTGGTGCACGATCGGGGCTGGGAAAAACATGGGAAGTTGGCTAGCCAGGGAGGGAGTGTGGGAGGACTCCAGGGCATGTTTGGCCTGTCTCACTCAGTCCTGATCGGCCGCACCCCAGCAACAAGCTAACCTACTGGTTGGAGAATCTGCCCCCTGGTGGTTAGTGCACATCATGGTGAGCAGTTGAGTGGCCTTAGCATATTATTAGCATATTCCACTTTGATTGGTTGAACAGCCAACTGGTTGACCAGACACTTAGTATATTAGGCTTTTATTATATAGGATGTATATATTTTTATATGTCTTAGTAGATTATTTGACCCATATAAGATTATTTGACCCATTTAAAGGCTTTTTATACAAATAAAAATAAACAATATTAACAAAAAGCTAAATCATGATTCATAAGCATATTTAATCAGATAATAATAAGGTAGGCTACCTATAGGTTTAAACAATTTCTCAATATTCACTATATGGCATATTTTTATAAGGCTAAATGGAATATCAGTTTACTGCTATGAGCTACATCAATAATTTTAAAAAAATGCAGAATTGCTTAGGAGGAGGGATAGTGTTTTATTCATCTTTAGATACTTCTGCCTAGCAAAGTCCATTTGGGTCAAAGTAGTTTTAGAAGCTAAAATAAAGCAAAACAACCACATCACAAAAGTGCCTGATGCCGCAGGGCATGTCTGTCTTCAGTTACAGAAGAAATACTTCTATGTGTCTGCAGTTAGGATTACTCAGTGATATGGTATAAATGGCCAAATCTAATCAGCCTTTTCTGTACTACTCTTGATGTCCAGATTCCTCCAAAGGACCTCAACCATCTTCAGGTATAAATGGGAACATGCAGCCCCCCACCACTGCTGGGCAGCCCCCTGCCTCCGCCATCCCTTCTCCGAGTGCCAAGCCCTGGCGCAGCAAGTCCATGAATGTCAAGCACAGCGCCACCTCCACCATGCTGACGGTAAAGCAGTCGAGCCCAGCCACCTCTCCCACACCACCTACAGACAGACTGAAGCCCCCTGGCTCTGAAGGGGTCAAAACAGCTCCCTCGGGACAGAAATCCATGCTTGAAAAATTCAAGCTGGTCAATGCCAGGACTGCTTTACGTCCCCCGCAGCCTCCCAGCTCAGGACCCAGTGATGGTGGGAAGGATGACGATGTCTTTTCTGAATCTGGTGACATGGAAGGTTTCAGCTGTGGTCTGAATAGCGGTGGCTCAACCAACAGCAGCCCCAAAGCGTCCCCTAAATTAGCCCCTCCAAAAGCTGGCAGCAAAAATCTCAGCAATAAAAAGTCTTTGCTCCAGCCAAAGGAAAAGGAGGACAAGAACAGGGACAAAAATAAAGTTTGCGCTGAAAAAGCAGTCAAGGATGAGAAGGACCAGGTGACGGAGACGGCTCCGAAAAAGACTTCTAAAATCGCAAGTTTGATCCCAAAGGGCAGCAAGACGACAGCCACCAAGAAGGAAAGCTTAATCCCGTCCTCCAGTGGGATTCCAAAACCGGGCTCCAAGGTGCCAACAGCAAAACAGACCATTTCACCGGGCAGCACAGCCAACAAGGAGTCTGAAAAATTCAGGACTACCAAGGGAAGCCCTTCCCAGTCCTTACCTAAGCCCGTAATCACCGAGAAAGCAAGCACATCCAATTGCCCTGCTCCTCTGGAAGGAAGGGAGGCCGGCCAAGCCTCTCCCTCTGGTTCCTGTGTTGGGTCAGTGGCACAGGGCAGTGGGCAGACCACGGGAAATGGTGCTGTCCAGCTCCCTCAACAGCAGCAGCACAGCCACCCGAACACCGCCACGGTGGCTCCGTTCATTTACAGGTAAGCTGGCCTCCATTCATCCACAGCTGGAAACATCTGCAGGTCTGTGCACTCAGTGCAATAAGAAAGGTTACTGGAGTCATGTCTTACATTGTCATTTTGGAGCAGTGTTTCATTCTGAAGATAGAGAGCCAGAATTTAATTTTTCAAGATAAAACCTTCACTATGCTCTAGTGCTCCCCTCCCATCCCCTCTCCTCCAGAACTTGAGGTCTTCAAAAGGTAACCAATTTTCTGTCAGAAGCAAACTAGAGACCAGGTGCATGACTTTATTGCTATTGCTGCTACTAATAAGACTTACTTTTATGATTAGTCTTTTAAAACAGTTCTAAGTTTTATAGAGTTTACAGATATTTTTGTTTTCTCTGTGAGAGAGAATACCATAAAGGGGCAGGCTCTGGAATCAGACAAAGGTAGTTCGAGTGCCCAGTTTTGCCTCTGACCAGCTGTATGACTTTGGACAGTTACTTAAGTCTGTCTCTTTTTCTTCAGCTGTCAAGTAGGAACAATAGTATCTACCTCATAGGGTTGGGGAGAATAGCAGGGATAATGTATATAAAATGTTTCCTATATATCCTGGCACATTGTAAATGTTCAGTATATATTCTTTATAAGGCATTGTTTTCCCAACATAGAATGTATATTAATCTCCCACACCTAGGCATGACTTTCTAGGCAAAGAATAATGGCCTATATTCAAGGTATCCCCCCAAAATATATACACACTTTAACAGTTGATAGCTCAATTTTGAAAATGAGATATATTCTAATAAACACTGCCTCTATAATTATTCAAAGTGTATATGTACATTTTTGGGGATACCCTATATTTATTATATTTATACTTTATTTTTTTAAAAAAATTGCATTCTGTTTATTTTATTGTGTATGTATTAAATTTATATCATATGTTATATTTTAAAATGTGTGTTCTACTGAACAGTTATAAAAATAGCACATTTGCCTATTGCTCCGAGGTTTGTTTTAATCGATTAGAAACATGTCAGTCACTGACGTGTTTCTATTTTTATTCCCTGTCCCTTCAGAGAGGAAAGAGCTTTGGGAGGAATAATGTCAGCCCTTTTATCAGGTCGGCAGCTCAGGAAAGAAATTTTCTGAACAGGAAGTGGCATCTGCTACAATTCAGACAGGGTCATGGTTGTATAGTTTACAGTTTATTAAATTTATTAAATGTATGGGTTTTTCAGTAAAGTAAATAATTACAGGCAAACCTCATTTCTCAAACATCTCCCATCTGGAACCATTCTGTTCTTCACCAAGTTGTTCACAGAAAAAGTGTTTCTGTTGGTTGTTGAACCAAGTCTCTCAGGCAACAAACAAAGGAGAAATACTTTTGTTGCTGGTGAAATGGACAATTAGCACAATTTTAAAACATAAAGAGGCCATCCAGAGTGCTAATGTTGCTAAGGGTGTGAAAGAAGTAATGATCCCAGGCAATTGAAGAGGCAGAAAATCTGTTGTTGATTTGGATAAAGGAAAAGCAGTTAGTTAGCCAGTGACTGCATTTCGGAGGCAGTGATATATGAACAAGCAAAGATGCTGCATACCGACTTCTTGAAAGAACCCCTAGAACAAGTGCTGAAAATGATTCCCTTAAGGCTAGTAGGGGCTGTTCAAATAATTTAAGAAGATAAGTGTGTATTTATAGGTTAAACAGTACATTAGATGTGTACTGTACATAAGAAAGTTTAAAATAGAGAATCATTTGGGAGTCTGAAACAGATTAATTCAATTTACATTATTTCTAGTGGAAAGAAATGATTCTGTTTTCAAAAAAATTGCTTATCAAACACCCTTCCAGAATGAATTAAGTTGGAGAACCGAGGTTCCATTGTATAATGATTTATTTTCCCTTAAAAATAAAATATGTCATTTGGATTATGTAGCCCCTGATATTCTTTCAATTCTGACTGCTCCAACCCCATTAAAAGACATTCCTGCAAAATCCCTGACAGACTTTGAAATTGAAAATCATTTGATAAATAATAATCATTTACTGTTTTATAATGATACTTAGGGACCTGGTGCACAGATTCGCCCTCTCGCAATCCAGGACCCCTCAGGGGATGTCAGACTGCCGGTTTTGGCCCAATCCCCATAGGCCAGGCCGAGGGACCCCACTGGTGCACGAATCCATGCACCAGGCCTCTAGTATGCATATAAGATCTTTGGTTAATCTCTTCCCACCCTTCCCCCTCCCCTCTTCCCTTTGAGATTCATCAGTCTGTTCCATGTTCCCATGCCTGTGCATTGAACATCTGCTCACAGTTGTTTGGTTGCTTAGGCTTATTATATATAGTCTAGAGGCCCAGGGCACGAAATTTGTGCATGGGGAGGGGGGCCCTCAGTCCGGCCTGTACCCTCTCCAATCTGGGACCCTTTGGGGGATGTCCGACTGCCGGTTTAGGCCCAATCCAGCAGTTGGACATCCCCCTCGCAATCCAGGACCGCTGGCTCCTAACTGCTCACCTGCCTGCCTGCCTGATCGCCCTAACCACTCTGCCTACGTGCCTGATTGCCCCTAACTTCCTCTGCCTGCCTGCCGGATTGCCCCTAACTGCCCTCCCTTGCCATCCTGGTCACCCCTAACTGCCCTCCCCTGCCGGCCTGGTCACCCCTAACTGCCTCTGCCTTGGCCCTCGCCACTGTGGCTTTGTCTGGAAGGACATCTGGAAGATGTCCGGTCTAATTAGCATATTACCCTTTTTATTAGTATAGATTCTCACTTGCTGAGTGCTTACTTAATGTAAGTCTCTGTTACAAAATTTTTGTGCATTTTATTTATTTTTATTTTTTTAAATCTATTTTTATTGATTTCTGAGAGGAAGGAAGAGGGAGAGAGAGATAGAAACATCCATGATGAAAGAGAATCATGGATCGGCTGCCTCCTGCAAGTCCCCCACTGGGGATCGTGCCCACAACCCGGGCATGTGCCCTTGACCAGAATCGAAACTGGGACCTTTCAGTTCACAGGCCGACGCTCTATCCACTGAGCCAAACTGGCTAGAGCAAATTTTTGTGCATTTTATGAGCATTTTCTTATTTATACTTTATCAGAAACCATGAGAAAGGAATGTTATTCCCACTCTATAGAAGTGAAGAAACAGATTTCAAGTCAGATTAGTGATAATCTCTTAAAGTCACAGGGCTACTAGGAGTTTACCTTTGAACCCAAATCTGCCTGAGTCCACAGCATGCCCTCCTTTGCTGATCAGTTCTTTCTGCATTATAAAAATAAGAGGTATTGTTACGGGGAAAATTCTGGCTGGGAAAATGTCAATGGTAGATTTTTTTTAAAATTATATGTAATACCTTAATCAATAAATAGAGAGAAAAAACCAAACAAACATCCTATCTAATAAAGAGGGAATATGCTAATCTCAAAGATGGTGGCGCCCACAGCCAAAAGGAAGGGAATATGCTAATTGACTGTCCCACCCTAAAAGATGGCAGTGCCCACAGCCAATAAGGAGGGAATATGCTAATTGACTACCATGCCCTCAAAGGTGGCGGCGCCCACAGCCACAAGATGGCAGCACCCAGTCCCCTCAGCCCCGCTGGGGCGCCTGCCTCCAGAGTCCCCAGTCCCCTCAGCCCCCAGCCTCGGCTGGCAGCTGCCCAGTTGCTCAGCCACCCAGGACCAGCCCGAGGTGCAGGCAAGCATCGGATGGAGGCTGCCCAGCTGCCTAGGGCTGCCTGAGGCTCAGGTAACCAGGGCCAGCCTAGGCTTGCGCTGCTGGCAGTGGCATCAGCAGAGGTGTGATGGGGCGTCGCCTTCCCCTGATCGCTGGGTTGCCTCCCGCCCCTGAGGGCTCCGGGACTGTGAGAGGGGGCAGGCCGGGTTGTGGGGACCCCCCCCCTCCAGTGCATGAATTTTCATGCACCGGGCCTCTATTAATTCCTTTATAATGGGAAATACATAATCACCCATAAGTAGTATATATGTTTTTTAAGCAGCCCTAACTGGTTTGGCTCAGTGGAGAGAGCGTCAGCCTGTGGACTCGAGGGTCCCAAGTTCGATTCAGGTCAAGGGCATGTACCTTGGTTGCGGGCACATCCCCAGTAGGGGGTGTGCAAGAGGCAGCTGATCGATGTTTCTCTCATCAATGTTTCTAACTCTCTATCCCTCTCCCTTCCTCTCTGTAAAAAATAAATAAAATATATTTAAAAAAATAAAAAGAAGCATACATAGGGACATATATATTATTATTGACAGTATTATAGATGCCCCCTTTTTCCCCCACTTTGCCCTTCTCCACCCTGTCCCCACCCCTCCCCAGGCATATATTTTTAAAAATAAATAACCTTAAAAAAAAGAAAAGTTTGATGGCTGATGCAGATTTTTTTTCCCTTTTCTTGGCCAACTTCTAGGTCATGCTAGGTCATTAATTATTCCTTCTGGGACTCTAATATACTCCTCGTAATATATTCTTGCAAATTGAATGTTCAGAATCCTAAAAATATAATGCTGGGTTCTGGGAGTTAATGGATATCTTTTTAGTCCTACTTCCTATGCAATGCAAGGATATTCTATATTAAATTTTTATAACTCATTTATCACTAAAATGTAGTAAAAGTATTTTTGAATTTGGTCTATCTTTAACCATTTAATGAGTAGATATAACTAAGGTCAAAGGTGAGAATTTTCATTGAATTAAAAGTTTCTTTCTTAAAATTTTCACCTTTGACTCTTCCTTCAAAATATATCTTATATCAGCATTTCTTTGTCTTTCCACCTCCCTTTCCTGGTCCAAGATTGTCACTACCAATGCTCACCTAGTTTCCAATGACTCTCCCAACTTCCCCTTGTAGACCTTTCCAATATCATTCTTCATACATCAAAGTATTACTTGTGGATGTCATTTTCAATAGAGACCATCTATTGGATGTCTATAACTCTTAAAATATGAAACTCAAATGTGTTACAAAGACTTAAAAAGAGCTGCATAATCTGGCCCTCTCAGTATGTATGAGTCTCTG